ATGGATGCAGCAAATTTAGCTATTGTTTTTGCACCAACAATACTTATGGATTGTAAAGCACCAGTCGTATCAAGTAAAGATATGAGTGTTGCTATGTCAGCTGATCAAATGGAACAAGGAAAAAGTATTTTAAAACTTATGATTGAACAATATAAAGAATTATTTACAGTAATATAAACAATTTTTTATGACAAAAGAGACAAACAATAAATATATATATATATATTTTTTATGATTATTTTTTAGGTACCAAAAGATTTACATGATGAAGCTTGTATTGCACTTTATGAAAGTGATAGTATTCAATTAATGAGAGCATTAGCATTTAAAGTACAAAATGGTTGTGGGTTAGTTATTATTATTTTAATAATAAAAATAAATTTAATATTTAATATTTATTTTTAGAATAAGTTCAATGCAATTGGATGAAGCAAATGAACATTTATTTATGTCATTAGATATAACACCAATTTTACTTGAAATTCCTTCATCAACAAACAGTATTTTTTCGGCAATCATTCCTCGAATAAATCAACATCAACAACAACAACAACAACAACAATTAACAGATTCAACTCTTCGTCGATATAATGCTCGACGTAATTCGGATTTTCCATGTACATCAACACATGCATCACGTTCATCAGAATTTCTTCAAGTACCTATGTCAATATCACAACAACGTCGAACCAATAATAATCAACCATCATTAACAAAACCATCTGGTATACGTGATATATGTGAAGCAAGTATGGATCAAATTATATTTCGTGTTATTGATCCACCTAAATCATTATCATTACCACAACGTCCAACTGAACCTATTATAAATATAAGTTCATTTGATGATGTTACAACATCAACTGTTATTCGACCAAATTCACTTGATATTAAAGAATCTCCTTCATCACCTAATAATCAACGAACTGATACAGCCTTAACACCATCAAATACTCCATTATTACGTGAAATAAAACCTTATGCACGTTCAAAAACAGCTCCACTTTCATCTGTATCCGGTGCACAACAATTTTTAACTCCTAAACGTTGCGAAGCACGTGATTTATGTGGTTCGAGTTCAAATGATGATTCTCCATCACCTACAACCGGTCATAATAGTACTCTTGTTTGAATGTATATAGTTATTAACAATTAAAAATGAAGTGGAAAAAAAAAAGTATTTATAAATATAAATATATTATTGTCGTTTTTTCTTTGTTTTCTTATTCATCAATTAGTTCTTTATCTCTAGCATGATCTTTAAAATAATTTAATTCAGCTAATTGAAGTTCTTTTGCTTTTTTAGCAAATATAGCTGATCGACGTTTTTCTTCAAGAAAATCATTTTGAGATTGACTTTTAATAAGATTTTTTTCATTATTTAATGAAGTTTGTGCAAATGATACTCTACCAGATGATAATCGATGAGTTTCACCATTTTTTGATGATATATCGGATTGTTGATTTGATCGATGTTTTAAACATGAACGATGAATACTTGTCTCTTTTATTCCAATTGATTTTTCATTTATATTATTTATTATTTTCATTTGACTATGTTCTTGTTTATTTGTTATTGGAGAAGAATTAATATATTTTTTAATATCTTCTGATGAATTTATATCTTTATTATCACTATAGTTCATATGAAATAATATGATTAATGTTCGAATAATATCAATCGAACAATCACCATGAAAAAACAACAAGAAAAATGAATATATAACAACAATAAAACAAAAAAAATAATTGTTGCCAAGATTGATTTTTTTTTTTCAAATAATAATTATTTATTATAGTTATTTTTGTTTATATTGATTATTAATTCTAGCACGTTCATCAAATCAATGAATTCTTATTATTTACAAAGCTAGATAAAAGTAGCCTATCCTTCTCCACCCCCTAATGTAATGCTACTATTTTTTTTATGATAGTAAGATGATATTTTGGGTGCATGTCTGTGGTAATAAAATCTTATGTCAAACACCAACCCTCCAATCCATCAATTCTCGTGTGTTGCAGTTATAATCCAAACATTTTTCTTCCCTTGAGAATAATATCTTTAGCGGAAATTTGCACTCGGAAAGTTTTTCTTTGTCACTTTGACATTCTACAAGCTACTGTTGTTTTTTTTCTTCTAACACTTAAAAACAGTTCCAAATGTCTCCTTTATTATTGTGACACATTGTCAAGATCCTAGAAGGAAACCTCTTCAGGTGTCTAATTGCTTTTCGATCGAAATTATGTTTATTTGATGGATAATAGAAAAGTTTCAAATGATTTGTTTTTCCGATTCTTCATTCTCGAGATATCAAAATTTTACTAAATTTTTCCAAACAAAAAATTGTAGTCACGTGAAAAATTGACTTTCGACTTCAAACTTTCGACGAACAAAATCCTCAATGATATTAGCTCATTAGGCACGTTGTAACATGTTTAGTTTCTTCTATCGTGAGATATTCAATATATGAAATTCTCGGACTAGTTTTATTCATAGATTTATCTCTTCGAAAATGAAATACTAGTTGTACAATTAACTTATCTTATTGAAAACTTTGTACGTGTAAAGTTTGAAGTCAAAAGTCAATTTTTCACATGATCACAGGTTTTTATTTAAAAATCTAGTAAAATTTGAATATCTCGAGAACAAAGAATCAGAAAAGTAAATCATTCGAAACTTTTCTATTACTCATCAAATAATTATCATTGCGGTCGAGAAACGATTTGACATCAAGAAAAGTTCCTTCGTTAGTCATTAACATACTCTAAGTTAGAGAACTCTTGACGTCGTATTACGAATCTAAAACTTTCAAAATAGAATCATCATGGAAACAATTCATCTTTCTAAAAGTCAGCATTTACTCTTCGACATACATTTTTGATAAAATGATAATATCACAGCGATTTTAATGTGAGATTTCTAAACAATATGATTGAGATCAAGTAATCACAAGAGGAAGATTATATCTAGCTCATACCTTGAGTACAAGTAAATCAAGAGAGAACGAATTGATGCTTCCGATTATATATTATTGTCGTACACGTCCATTTAACTTATCGACTTAACATTATAAAAGAATAGTGACACTTCATGAGGGATAACTACTTTTGTCCAAGAGTGTATTTAAGATCTGCAAAGGTTTACATAAAATGAAATAATAATAATAATAATTCATTTTTCTGACAATTATCTAGTTAGTCACTTGAACCATTGAGTATTATCTGTGATGAATTATTATTTTCATAACTATGTATATTAAGATGCAACCATTATTTTCAGTTGATTCTAATATTTAATTAAAAGAATTTTTAGTAAATTCTCTTTTCAACGTTGAATGTCACAACTTTTCATCTTGTTTCAAATGAAAATAATTCACAAACAATTATCAATCAACTTACAATTTTCTATGACGACTAAACTCTAACTGATGAGATAATAGTCAAAGGTATTTGTTTCATTTTGAGTCGAAACTTAGTACACCTAGTAGACTATAGTAAAGTATGTCTATTATAAAAAGCATTTGTACCAAGGCCTCTTTTCTGAGAAGATCGAACGTTTTTAGTGAATATTGATCTGAAACTTTGTTCATAAAAAGGCATCAAATAAACTATTATCCATTTCAAAATATAAGAACCGTGGCCATTTTTTGAATAACTTTTCATAAGAACAAAATAGTGAGGCAGAGTTTTCACAGTTTGAAATGCAAGACCTAGGCGCATTAGCATATGCTAAAATCTGGTTGGCCTGTAATGAACCAATCAGATGCATTCTCCATGAGTATTTTGTGCACAATATTCTGGGACTCTTCCTCAGTTTTGATTTAGTAGTTCGGTAGAAGAACTTATTTTCTTTTGATCTACACCGAGCCCACTTTTCTAGCATGTTTCAGTCAAGAGTTATGATCATTTTCGTGAAACTCCTGATTTTGACTATTCGCAGTCTTGAATTACATAGAAAAGCATTTTAGGTGAGGTAATTTATCATGCTGAGTCGAATGATGATATTGTTTTTTGTATTTGTAAGGTGGTTTCAAATCCAAAAAACAATATCACCATTCGACTCAGCATGATAAATTACCTCACCTAAAATGCTTTTCTATGTGATTCAAGATCGAATAGCTAAAATCAGGAGTCTCAAGAAAAGGATCATAACTCTTGACTGAAACAAGCTAGAAAAGCGAGCTCGGTGTAGATCAAAATAGAACAATTTTTTCTACCGAACTACTCAATCAAAACTGAGGAAAAGTTTAGAAAAGATCTGGGAATATCGTTTCCAAAATGTCCATGGAGACTGCATTTTGATTGGTCCATTACAAGCCAACCAGATTTTAGCATATGCTAATGTGCCTCGATCTTACCTTTCAAACGGTGAAAACCTCGTCTCACTATTTTGTTCTTATAAAAAGTTATTCAAAAAATGGCCACGGTTCTTATATTTTGAAATGGGTAATATTTTATATAAAAAAATTCAAAATTTTTGGATTAAGTCTATCTGAGATGCTGAGCTTTTACAGTATAGACGATGAATAGTATATACAGTATATATTTTCCGAAAACTTCCTATATCCTGGAGAGACGTAGTAGAAAAATTGTGAAAATTGTTTATACAAGCTAGTCTAATTAATGTTTTTCTGTGAACAATGTTTTAGATGGCAATTCGAAAATATGGTCTTCGCATAAATGTTGAGTCTAACACTAGCCGAAATTCATCTAAAAATCATTTGATTTCCTCATAAACAAGCCATCAGCATGAAGCTTTTTCCTGATAGAAATTGTTTTCACTCCTTAATTTAAAGTCTTAGACAAATAAGAGTACATTAACAAAAAATACACATAAATTCAATTCTAATATTTTATTATGATTTAAAAGACAGTAAATGCTTTAAATTACATTGAGAAATCTTTAATCGCAGAAAAACAAACAATTAAAAAAGCTGAAAGAAATTTCTAAACTTATAACTATAACTATTGCATTGAAAAACAACCCATAATGTCATTGATTAAACTTGTTCAAGTTCGATTAAAATTCCTCCACAATCTCTTGGATGAAGAAATATAACTGGTTTTCCGTGAGCACCAATTTGAGTTTTTTCACTAAGTGTACGAATATTTTTTTGTTTAATATCTTTAATTGCTTCTTCAATATTATCAACCTAAATTAAATATAAAAAATTAATTAAATGAAAAAAAAAAAATTAAATTTAATAATAAATACTTCAATACAAATATGATGAATTCCGCCTGATTTATTTTTTTCTAAAAATTTTTTTATTGGACTTTTTTCACCAAGTGGAAATAAAAGCTAAAATAAACAAAAAATTTTTAAATTCCATTTATTTATTTATTAATATAAATAATTTACTTCTATTTTAGTATTACCAAAATTAACAAAAGTTGTATAAACACCATGTTCTTTTTGTGGTACAGCATCACTTACAGAATTTGCATGAATAACATTTTTAAAAAAATTACTTGCTTCATC